GGCTTTGTCGCCCACTCGCCGGCCCTGCGCGCCGGGGGGCGCGGCGCCCTGGCGAACGCGCGGCCCTCAGAGCTCCTTCGGGGGCAAGGTCAGGGAGGGGGAGGCAGGCTCAGGGGGGACGAAGTTTCGAGCTTCCAGGTTCGGGGTGTTCGGACGCGTTTGTCGCGTCTCGGCGGCTTTCCTGCCTCGGCCTGCCTGCCAGCGGCTGCGCCTCGCCGAGAGCGTTCTGGGGGTGCCCAGATCGCCTCGACGAGGCCCGAGTTGTGGCCGGGAGACCAGGGAGCGAAGGGACAGGCAGAACGTTAGGGGAGGCGCTGGCTCGAAGGGGAATGCCCCCGCCCCCGATCGCCCATTGATGGCCGATGCGGGCCCGATGGCCCACCCCGCCCGGGAACGTGAGGATGTGCCACCCGGGGGGTCGTATCGCCGATTCCAGGTCGAGGCTTCCCCCCCGCTGAGCTGGTCAACCTCCTGGCATTCCCCTTTCAGAGGGCGAGTGGCCGCCGTCCGTCGGTCGCCGCTCCGTTCGAGGGCTCGTCATGGGTCCGAGGCTCGAGCAAGGCTTGAGGATGGAGGTTTCCGGGCATTCTTTGGGCCCCCTCGGTGGCGCCCTCGTCGCCACGGCCGGATCAGCCTCGAGATTTTTATCGGAGCGCACCTCGGGAGGGGTTTTGGGGCTGATCTGTGAAAGGAAGCGGGGGGAGGCTGGCGGAGGGGTCGCAATCTCGGAAAAGAGGTCCTGAGAGAAAGGCAAGGCGTTTTTTCGCAACCTTTTTGCGTTGGGCTTATCGTTTTGAATGCACTGCCTCCTCCTTCTCCTTCCTGCTCCACTGCCTCTTACCTGCCTTGTATTTACCTGCCCTCTACTTCGCCTATGTTTGTGCTGCCAACCGCGCAACCGTCGCCACTTTCGTGAGCCCCTGGAAGATCAGTGGAGTGCAGAGCGAAGACGATAACTAGATCTCGCATCCTTTGAGGGCTACCAACTGCGTAACCGTCGCCATTGTCGTGGGCTCTTCAAGTAGAACTCTGCTCCTTGGGGACTGTCCACTGCGCAACCGTCGCCACTCTCGTGAGCTCCTGGGAGGGCCCGCGGAGTGCGGAGCTAAAGGGACCACAACTAGACATCGCTTCCCTGGGGGCTGCCATCTGCGCAACCGTCGCCGCTTTCGTGAATTTCTGGGAGGTCTGGGGTAGTGCGGGGCTGAAGGACTCCTAGCCAGACCTCGTCTTCATGGGGGCCATCGATACCATACCCCGCACTCCTATACCACCCTTGTGGGCCGAGACCATGGCAGAGAGACATTCTATTTCCTCTCCAACCGCTCACCGTTCTCCGCTGACACCGGCCGGAAAACAAGCTCGTGTCGCAAGCCCTCTGAACAGCATGGACGACGAGGAAGAGAATGGTCATCTTGCCGGTCTTGTCGATGCTACGTTCGGGCCCGCTCCGGTACTGACTGTGACTCCGACCAGCGCTGTCGTCCACCACGCAAGCGGGAGTGCGGCTACCATCGAGGACATCCGGAAACTCATCACAAAAGAATTTGGGACCACTCCAAAAAGACATTCGAGCTATTGAACAAGATGGTATTTCGTGCCAGGACTTGGAGGACGCCACGAAGCCATTGCAGACCGATATCGGCGAGCTCACGACTCAGTTCGAGCACATGTAAATCCGCATGACCAACATAGGGAATACGATGAACGAGCGCATGAAGAAGATGGACTTGAGTTCACTAATGTGCAGAACTGCACTCCGAGATCTTACGCTGGAGCTTCACAGATCACGGCAAACACATTCCACTATCACGGAAAAAGTGCGGTGACGGCAGTCATTGGGAACCTGAGAATTTTGGGGACGGTGACGGCCGCATGCGACTACATCTGTGACCAGTTGAGCACGATGCGCGGGCCGACCCCCAAACACCTATACGCAAAAGGAGATTTTCAGAACATTGTCTTTGCAGAATTCGATGCCATGCTCGACGGGGGCACCGCGGTCGCTTTACTACGCAGCGGTGGTTTAAAACGTGGAGAAAAACCGTATGGGCAACGCATGACAGAGAACCCGCAGAACGCGCTGCGCGCAAGTATTGTCACCTTCTCAAAAATCACATGCGTAATCCGTACACGATCAGAGTGTCCGCTGAGTCCCCATACGAGGTACGTGTTGGAGGGCAATTGCCTCTTACAGTAACTGTTGGGGATACGTGCATTGACAAGCGTTGGGAGGACCATTGGAACAACTGGGAGAGATGACAGAGACATAGCAAACTTGCGGATTTGAATGCGAGATGCGACAGTATTCTATTGAGGGCCTCCGCAGGAATGAAAGGTGGGGCCCAAGGAGCTTCAAAAGGCAAGCCGTCCAAATGGGACGGACGGCAGCTGCTGGGGCTTTCTATGATTACGAAGGGGACTACACCCAGTGCCAGAGCCGCCCAGCAGAAAACTACTCATGACAATCATTTGTGTGTGTGTGGGGGATTTCCTGACAAACCTACCGGTGCGACCACATCTACAGCGACATCCATTTCACATGCGTATTTTTTCAGAATTCGACAGGAGCGGGCAAAGCTACCGACCAGTCGTGCATTTCCTTATTTCGACCAGCACCAGATCAATGTCGACACTGGCGTACGTCATCATCATCATCATCATCATCATCATCATCATCATCATCATCATCATCATCATCATCATCATCATCATCATCATCATCATCATCATCATCCCACATTAGTAAGGACTCCTGCGCCGAGGACACCGCGACGGTTGCAACTACCGACGCCGAGCCTCTACCCCCAGCTCCCGACCTCCGATCATGCATCCGACTTCCATCGTTCGACCGCCACCCCCGCCTATCTGACCTACAGTTCAGTTTTCGGCCTCTGGCTCCAAGTTGCCACCATCGGTTGTCGCCCCCAAAACTGTTTTTTACAGTAAGCATCTCTCATCGCTTGACCTCCAACCGCGACTCCCAGCTCCCGCCGTCAGTTTTGGGCCCGTATTCTATTGCCTACAGCGTTCGACGTCAATCTTTCGCTCTCCAGCCCCCTGTGTCCGACTCCCGGCCTCCAGGCTCCCACTCCCGATTTCAACCATCAGCAGACCTCTTCCTGCCAGCTTCAGACATCCCGCTTCCTACCTCCAGCTTTTGGCACGCGCGCCCTCTACTTTCAGAGGGGGAAGAAGGGGGTGACCAGGAGCAGGACGAATAACACAAGAAGGAGCGCGTTGCACTATCTGGCAGGATGCTGAACGCTTCTATTTCGGGACTTCGTGCTGTTGCGCCGGCACTTTCGGCATCTTCTACATCGCCCTCCCTTCTCTGGCTACAGGCCCCCCCAACATTGACGACAGCAGCGCTGACGACGCTGCCGACGACGAGTCAACGCAAATATTGTGCCTCGCCGACTCCAGCTCCCAACTCCGGATTCCCCCCATGGGTCTCGAGACGACCGCTCGTGGCGGACAGTTGGAATCAATTTTCATCTTCTCCGACTCCCGATCCCAGGCTCGACCCGACAACCAACCCTGACCCAGACGCTGAGAATGCGAGGATCGTATCGGCCCCGTCGCCGAAACAGGCTACCGTTCCGAGTTCGACATCCGATGACGACATGGAGCCCGATGCTTTACAGGCTTCCCCTCAGGCGCCCAGCTTTCGACCTCCATTTCTTAACTTCCACGTCCACCCCCCAGCATCCAACTTGCCACTTTTACCTGCGTTTACTGACCTCCAGCCTCCGCCACCTCAACGCTCCGACCCCCCGCCGCTAGCGCACGACTTCCCGGCGCCGCCATCGGCTCCAATTCAGCGCCCCAACCTCCAACGTCCAGCATCCGACCTCCAACCGACACCGCGACCCATCGACCTCCGACCTCCGTCATTGCAGCAACCCGACTTCCAGCATCCAACATCGGACCTCCCACGCCGTCCAACACCAACTGTCGACTCCTACCTCAATGGCCCTGACCCCCAGGGGCCAGCAGCATCAGGCATTCAGAGTATCTTCCCACCTGCTAACCTTCAGCGCCCATCGGCAGACCTCTCCAGTTCCAACGATCGCCCTCCGCGTCCGACACTCCGACCTACGACTTCCAGCAGCGCCAGACTGCCGCGACCGATTTCCACCTATCGACCTACGGCTCCGACCAATCGACCCACTGCGTCCACCTCGAACCGTCGACCCCCGCCCCGCGCAACCGCCAATTCAAACTATCGACCTACACCTCCAAAGCTCTGACAACCAGCGTCAGGCAGCACCGGCCTTCCACAGACTACTTCCACCTATCGACCTCCAGATCCCATCGTCATTGACCTCCACCTCCACCTGTCGACCTCCAGCTTTCACCGAGTGCACATCAGAAACACATACTTTCGTAGAGCATAACTGTACGACATGGGCACCTGCATGCACGGCTGTCGGGTCCAGTTTTGACCAGGAGCAGGGGCCTCAGCAGCAGGCGCGCCGACGTAGCATTGGCGGATGACGAGGGCGATGCAGCAACACCGAAGGCGATTTACCGACATGTTTACAGCATGGCCACTCTCACCAGCAACGGTCGACGACAGACAGGAAGCCTACAACCCCTGCGCTGCGCAGCGACACTGGCGAGCATAACGTAACCATCATGCGCGCAAATGCTTGGGGACTCACCGACGACGAGACGATCGTCATCATTATCCGGGAGCTCATGAACGTAGAGTGGGACGCTGTCGCGACCAACGAGACGGGGCGAACTACGACGCGGGAGATTTGGGTCGCAGCGCTTGGTGGTCATGTATTTGTAGCTGCAGGCTGGGCGTGATCGCCCAACCAGGGGTGTCGCTTTTCTGGCGCACCAAAGACATGCGCAACGCATCGAAAGCTTCGCGGCTGTGAACGAGCGGATTGCTTACATGGGCCTCGACTTTCCACGGCGCCAGCTCCAGATAGTTGCGGCGTAATTTCCGCGTGGAGGGTATGGGGACCAACGTGTCCAATGCATGTGTGATATGAGCGCTGTAGTCCACGCCGACGCCAGCAAGCAGAAGCGCACGCCCTACT